GCACCAGTGGTGTAGACACGGGTGTGCCCTTGACTCCACTTCTTGAAGTCAATGATTCGTTCCTTCATTTTGCTGACATTGATGGAGAAATTGTTATCTTTACACCATGTCACTAAGTTCGCTACTTCTTTCCTGTACTCTGTCTCATCATTGTTTAAGATCCAACCCACTACATTGGTGTCATCAGCAAACTTGCAAATGGGTCCGAGCAGAATTTGGCCACACAGTTGAGTGTACAGTATAAGGAGAATAGTAAGGGGCTCAGTACATAGCCTGGCAGGGCACAGGTGTTGAGGATTATTGTGGAGTAGTGTTGTCACCTTACCGTTGCGTCAGTGAGTGAGGAGGTCGAGGATCCAGCTGAAGAGAAGGTACCAGCGTCCTCGGTCTCGGAGTCTGGTTGGAATTGTTGTGCTGGAAGCGGAGCTATTGTCAATAAATATGAGTCTGACGTAGGTGTCCTTGTAATCCAGATGTTTCAGGGATGAGTGTAGGGCCAGGGAGATTGTATCTCCTGTAGACCCTGTTATGAGAGTAGGCAAATTTTAGAGGTTCAGGGCAATCTGGGAAGCTGGAGTTGACGTGTGCCATGACTAACCTCTCGAAGCACTTCACGGTGATGAATGTCAGATTCACCAGGTGTTAGTCATTAAGGCACGCTGCCTGATTTGCACCAGAATGATAGTGGTATTCTTGAAGCAGGTGGAAACCTCAGATTGGAGTAATGAGAGATTAAAGACATCAGCGAATACCACCCCCAGCTGGTCCGTGCAGGATCTGAGTGCATGGCTGAGGATTCTGTCTTGGCCAGTCCGTTTCCATAGGTTCACTCTCAAGACAGGGCAGCACGGTGGCTCAGTGATTAGCACTGCTGCCTCACAGTGCCAGGGACCCGGGTTCGATTCCACCCACCGGCGACTGCCTGTGTGGAGTTTGCGCGTTCTCCCCGTGTCTGCGTGAGTTTCCTCCGGGTGCTCCGATTTCCTCCCACAGTCCAAAGATGTACAGGTTGGTGGATTGGCCATGCTAGTTGCCCGTAGTGTTCAGGGATGTGTAGATTAGAGGGGGATGGGTCTGGATGGGATGCTCTGAGGGTCAGTGTGGACTTGTGGGTCGGAAGGGCCTGGTTCCACAGTAGGGATTCTATGATCTACTAAAGCAGATCTGACGTCTGCAGTAGTGACTGTGGATACTGGTGCACCCAAAGCTTTCAGTCAGGTGACATTATTTCACTGACTATTTGTTCAAAATGAGCATAGAATGCATGGAGTTCATTGGGGAGGGATGCATTGTTGCCAGCAATTCTACTCGACGTTGTTTTGCAGCCCATTATATTGTGTAAGCCTTGCCACAATTGACGGTTGTTCGTGTGGTCAGGCTGAGACTCTAGTTTACTCTGGCATTGTCTCTTAGCAGCCCTGATGGCTTTGGGAAGGTCGTAACTAGATTACCTGTAGAACTCAGGGTGACCTGACTTGAACGCCTGGATCTCAGCAGGGTGTCGATCTCCTGGTTTAGCCATGGTTTGCAGTTGGGGAAACACTCTGATTAACTTCTTTGGCATGCAGTCCTCTATACACTTACTGATGAAGTCAGTGATGATTGTGGCATACTCATTTAGTTTGGCCACCGAGTTCTCGAATACTCCACTGACCCTAAGCAGTCATGTTGGAGCTCATCTGTTACCTTAGGCCAGCACTGTATGACTTGATCTTCCTTCTTCAGATACTTTCACTTGCTTGCAGGAGCTCAGAGCAACTGATTCATACTTATAAAACTTTTGACTTATTGATTAAAAGTCAGAGCTTTCAACAACTGATGAGAGAAAATAAACTGTCTTTCTTCAGTCTTGAGGTTTTTTATTACTGCAGAGGAAAGAACAGCACCTCCCTTTCCGGAGGTCTAATCATTTCTAACCAAGCAATCACACCCAGAAGATACTTATATACGTGGTAGCCAATTATATGGTTGCTGGCAAGCAGAGGCCTTTGTCATCAATAACTGGTCACCACTCCACAGACCAATCGGCTATTTGTTGCCAGCTGAATCTTCCTTTGGACACATCACCTGACTCCAGATCATGTAGTGAATTTTGCCAAATTGATCAAACAAGCAGCAGTACAACAGCACTTACAATTAGAGCCTGTAACCTGCTTTCTTTTTTAAAAAGCATTAATCCATTCCACAGACCTTGGTTTTGTAAACAGTCCTCCTTCTATTTTAGTCTACAATCAGAAAATACGTGCAAATGAAAAGGTATGTACTTTACAAACTATATAGTTTTCCTTCACTGTCACTGGCTGAAAGACCTGGAATTCCTTCCCTATTAGCAGAGTGAGCATACCTACAACACACAGATCGCGATGGTTTAAGAGCACAGCTCACCACACCTTCGAGGGCAGTTAGGATTGGACTATAAATATTGGTTTTGGCAGCACTGTTCTAATCCCATAAATGGGAAAAAAACGCGGGCATAATCATAAAGAGATTGTCATAACAAATCCAGAATCAGTAACGCCAGTATTTTATATTTTGATCTGGGTGAAAAACTATAGATCTTTTCTAGTGGATAGGCGCAGGGGTGCAGAAAGAGGGATCAATCTATGCGTACTTGAGTAATCTACGTCACAAAGTAGTTGCAGATGAGTTAATGGATTTGGCAGAGTGACACAAGACAACCGATGTGCAAGACATACCATCACAGATCACTTGGCAGAAGTAATATTAAGATGGAGGCAGCGACATGGCGATATTGTCACTAGACTAGCAATCCAGCTGCCCGTGTTGATGTTCTGGGAAAATGGGTTTGAATTTCACCACGACCAATGGTGAAATTTGAATTCAATTAGTAAATCTGGAATGAATGACAACGAAGAAAACATTGTTGATTGTTGTAAAAACCTATCTTGTTCACGAATGCCCTTTAGGGAAGCATAGTTCATATCTGAAATAAAAACAAAGTGCTGGATAAACTCAGTAGGACTGGCAGCACTTGTGGAGAGATTTTCAGTGGCTGCAGTGTTTTGCTCTTATTAAAGTCCTAAACTGGTTTTGCCTAAAAGTGATTCCCAACTGCAGAAATGCAGTTGACTTAGCCATTCAGTTGCATCAAAACTGCCACAAAATCTAAAAAAAGGAACAAAACTGGGTAGCCCATGCGGCAACTAAGAACTGGAAACAACAGTAAACACAGAACTGTCGACCCTGCAAAGTTTCTCTTGCTGATAATGTTAAGCCAGATTGGGAGAGCTGACTTTGATGTCCAAGATCAAGAGGGGCACAATAGAAGCAGTACTGAATGCGTTGGCCAAAACCTAAAGGACACATATCAGACTGAGCTTGTGGCAAAAGTCCAGGGGAAAAATCTATGTGATCTTGTCCTCGATAATTTACCAGTCACAGATGCATCAATCCATGGCAGTATTAGTAGAAGTGACCACTAACTCTTTGAGGAGATGAAATTCCATAACACACTGAGGACACCTTCCGTCATGTTGTTTGGCATAACCACTGTGCTAAAAGGGATAGATTTCAAATGGATCTAAAAACTCAAAACTGGGCATCCATGAGGTGCTGTTTACAGCAGCAGACTTGCATTTGGATGTACATTGGTCACTGCATAATGTTCAGCACCATTCGTGGCTCCTCAGATACTGAAGTAGTCCATGTATAAATGCAGCAACAACTGCCTATATCCAGGCTAGGGCTGACAAATGACAAGTGACATTGCGCCACACTGGTGGCAGACACTGACCACCTATAATCACTGAATCCCCCACTATCAACAATCTGGGGGTTCCATCACCCAGAAACTGACCTGGACTAGCCATATAAATAATGAGGCTACGACAGTAGGTTGGAGGCTAGGAATCTTGCAGCTAATAACTCATGTTATGACTGCCCAAGGCCTGTCCACTAGCCACAAGGCCTAAGTCAGGAGTGTGATGAAATATTCCCCATTTATCTGGATGAGTGTGGTTCCAACAACACTCAAGAAGTTTGACACCATATAGGACAAAGCAACAAGTAGCATTAGTGTCATGCAATGACTGTCTCCAACAAGAGAGAATCAGACTATTTCTTCTTGACATTCAATGTCACCAGTTCTCCGTTATCAAAATTCAGAGGGTTACCATTGACCAGAAACTGAAACTAGCCAAATAAATACCTTGGCTGCAAGGGCAGATCAGAGGCTAGAAACTTCAGTGAATAATTCACCTTCTATCAACTCAATGCCTGTCTATAATCTATAAAGCACAGTCAGGAGTGGGATGGAAAACTCTGTATCTGCCTGGATGTGTGCAGCTCCAACAACTCAGGAGGCTAAACACCATTCGGGACAAATTAGCTAATTTGTCACCCCATCCACCATCTTCAACATCAACTCCTATCATCACCGATACAGAGTGGCAGCAAGGCATACCACCTACAGGATGCATGGCAGTGATTTATTCATGCTCCTTTGACAGCACCTTTCAAACCAGTAATCTGTGCTATCTAGAAGGACAAGGCAACAGATCCATGAGACCACGTTGTTTGGAAATATTAGTTCCAATTACAGTTCTCCTTGGTTTTGATTTTAAATAAACATGAAAATTTCCTTACATGGAATATTGGAAATATCAAATAAAGAAACAATTTGTGACGCAAGAAAATGGATTGATATCAGGCAGGTAATGTCCTTTCTGAGATACCAACATCATGACAGAGACTGATATCCATAAATTCTTTACAGACTACTTTGAATCAACATTTAAACATATTTGGCTTGAATTTCTTCTATTTGTAAAGTGCAACTGCACCAGGGAACATAAGAATTACCAATGTTTGCAATAAAATGCTTTGTACTGATTACTCAAGGAGAAACAATAAGTATTGATACTCCAAAAGCAGTATACAATGAAGAATACCACAGTTTATGTTTATGTGAATGGAACAGATTTCTATCGAAATAAGGCGGAGAATTTTCTCTTATCTACGTAATCAGACAATTTTCTTACCTGACTTTGACTAGAGCTAGTACTGCCAGTTGGTGTACATGTATTTGGTGTATATAAAGGGTATGCAAACTGCAAAGCAGAAGGAGTTCCAGCCTTGCTCTTGACTAAAGTAGTACATTTGTTTTGTTGTGGATGGAGAGGTATCCCCATCAACTCCGAGGGATGCCGGATCAAAGCAACCAAACTACAGAACGATAAAGGCAAAACAGGTCATAAATACATCTGTATATTTTTATAGCATGTAGCTATACTGCCTAATACAAGGTATATAATGCTTCTGGTTCAAAAAAATTAACATTTCATATAATTTTACATTTATCCTGTATAAATAAACCAAGACAATGTCTTCAAACAGTGCAAACTTATTAATGTGGTTTAAAAAATATATTTGATGTGTTTATTTGTGCCATAATCTTTGTGACAAGTAAGAGCTAGATTAGAATAGTCATTCCACTAATTTAATTAAAATCACACGAAAAAAACTGTACAAGTATTTTCCCACAGTGTTGGAACACAGCTAATCTTGATTCTGAGTCTACAATTCAATGTATTTTCCTTAAACCAAGATCTTGAAAGAAACCAGAGTTCAGGGCAAAATTCTTATACTAATTTTTAACTAACATATAATTTAGTTTGCAAATTCAAATGGCAGTGCTTAACTAAATGAATTAACTAAACGACTGATAAATAAGAGCTTTATAGAAAACAAAATTGATATAAGGTCAAGTTGTTCAGAATAAGAACGCAAAGTCTCTCTTTAAGCGGGGGATATGCACTTGGTACTTGAGTATTTATATTTATATTTAATCAGCTGTGTAATTTTTATCAAGTGATTGCATTGCTCTTTTCCTGGAACAATATTCATCTTATATATAAAAACATTGCACTGATGGTACACTTATTTAAGAGGATCTGATTTGTTTGACAAGTTGTGCATCCTGGTCTGTATTAAAGTTGTTCAATATAATACCCAAAATAGTTAAGCACTTCCATTTTAAAAAAGTTTTATTTATAAATGTTTGGTAAGGAAATTGAGTTCTGCAAATACAAAAAAAAAGTCTAATAAAGACTTATTGTTACTGTCAGTAAATATTTATTGTGCTACTTCTTAACATGGAACTATAGAAGACAATAAACTATGTGACTGAAACCAATTTTATGAAGACTACCCATTTCCAATAATTAACTCTAATTCGTCAGACTTAAATCTGTATATGAGCAAAACAACAGGAGTTTGTTATGGGCAGGTTTCACTGTTATTCTTAATGATTTTCTGAATTCCATGTAGATTGAATATTTCTATGTTGACTAGTTGAGAAACACACTTGTTAAACGTAACTCCAGAATCCTGTAGCTCCTGTCGATCCTGGTTTTCATTTTGGACTGCATTAAATCTGTCTTCAAGACGAACTCTGGGTCCAGTTTTACATCTTGACTCTTGACCTGCCATTGAATTATCCCCTAAATTTTTCTCCTTGTCTGAATTACCTGCCATGTCCCTATTTTTCAGTGTTAATCCATTAGGTCGGGTAGTTTCTGCAGAAGAATTTTGTGAGAATTTCTCCACATTTGGCAAACTATTACTGCTGTTTACAGGTAATGGAGGGTCATTCAAAAGCATCATTTTTAACTCTTGGAAATCAATGTGTCCTAGACATTGACTGTTACCCACATAGTGAGAATCTGAGGTTGGGTTCGTAGTACTTGTAACTGGGTACAGATTCTGGTTGGCAGAGCTGGCTGTTGAGTAAGGAACTTGGTTAACTGAGCTGGTTGTCGGAAATGGAGCCTGGTTGGTAGAATTGGTAGACTGGTACAAAGTAGGATTCAAACGAGTCTCCAGTTCACCCTCCACTGGCTGGGACTCCATGTGAGAGTAAAGGATGTGCTGTAGTTGGGTGTATTCGACCTCACTCATGTCAACGAGGCTAAGATCAGAGTTAGTGAAATTCAGCCCTGGCTCTGTAAAAGGGCACTCGGAGGTACAAGTGGTTGGGGTTGGATCCGTGGATCTGGAATCATTAGATGGGGAATGGGGGGCCTCTGGTGTGGCCTCAGATGAAAGCATCATCAACTTAAAATAATTGAATGTGATCTCCCCACATCTACAATAATTTAGGGCAGCAAAACAAAAGGTGTCCTACACTTTGGCAATACAATCTTTATCCATCTAAGACAAACAATATTCTCCTCACAATCTGAACCAAATTTACACAGAAGGAAAACATGAAAAAGTCACACTTTCCTGCTCTGAAACACAAGCTTTAAAATTACTTTTAGGAAAAAAACAACACAATTCTAGGGGTAAGTGTCCCTTATTAAGACTATGGTGAACTCACACAAACGTCGTGCATCACCTCCAATGGTAACCAAACTGAGATCTCACTCTAATCAATGGTTCTGAACTTCAAATACCCTTAACTTAAAAAAAGTCAGCTCCTTCAGGGAGAGTGGGCGAGGGTCCAAACGATCCACGAGCCGAATGGGGATAAACCCCACAGCACGGCACGAGTTCACACCCACATATCCGGGAGCTGTTTAAAAATACAAAACCACTTCATCGCCCCCCCGCTCCGACGACTGCCTCCAAATCAATACACCATTTACAACTTGATCACCGGAGGGAAGAAACTACAACAACTGCCAGAAAAACAAGTCTACAAGGACTAGCTTGAACACATACACCCTGCTAGTTTTTGCCCCCCTTTTTCATACACGCGCCCAAAACCACCTCCCTGCCCCCACCCCCCCCCGCAGACCACGAGCTGCCAATCCACGGCACCGAACGCGCACCGCTCCGCCCCTCCCCCCCCCCCAAACACCCACAACAACCCTCACGCCGTTTGAAAAGGCGCTCAACCGCCGTCCGGCCCGCGCGCCCAGGAACCCTGCCCCACACGCCCCAACACGCGCTTAACCCCGCCCCCAACACCTCACGTCCTCACCCACACGCTTCTTGCCCCATCCCTAAAACCCCAGGCCACGCCCCCACCACACCGGGACCCGCCCCAAACCGCCAGGTCTCACCCCACCCGCTACTGACCACGCCCCTGGAACCCCTGGCTCCACCCTTCACGCTCTTGACCCCGCCCATGTACGCGCGGCCCCGCTCCTGACTCTTTTCAATCGCCGCCCCCTCACGAATCGCTCCGTTCTCTTCCAAGGCCCACCTCCGACGGGACCTTCCCTTCTACACACATTTCTGCTTCCGCCTCTTCCTCCCACACCCTAATCCTCCGTCACCTAGCCATCACTAGGCCCCGCCCCTTCCCACCGCCGCCCACGTTCTAGACCCCGCCCCACCAATGACTGGCATTGTTGTATTTCGCGCATGCGTACGTCCTGTCTGAAGCGCGAGCGCTGAAGCAGTTCTCGTGAGGTAGTCGGTGTTTTCCAAAATTAAACAGACCGTGCGTATCATATATAATACATGAGGTAAAAATACTCACGTATCGGGTAAGGATACTGGGAAAAGGAAGTATGTAAACGTGACTTTCCCGGTTGGATGTTTTTGGACCGAACCCCCCCCTCATTTCGGAGTAAACAGCGGGTTTGACGCCAGTGTGACTGAGGGATTTATTGTAAAGTGTGTGAAGCTGGAGGAACACACTGTGTTATCTCAGACTCCAGCATCGGCAGTTCTTACTATCTCTGTGTAAAGTGTGTGTCTGAGGGACCCGTGGTCCTTGTAATGCTGATATGCCCAACACAAACCCTGATATAGCTGCGCAAAACACCAAGGAAGCCCTTCGGGCAGATTTTGCCATTCAGTGCGATCAGGACTGACCTGCGACCTACCTCCCGAGTGAAAACTTCTGCACTATAGTCCCTTCATACCTTCAGATCGCCAAAAAATAAACTATTTCAAGTAGAATTCCAAACTTCCGACATCCCTTGCACGTGAATGCTTTTCCTAATGTCACTAAAGCCAAACTTTCTTGAATGTTTATACTATGTCTCCCAGTCCTAGACTCCTTCACCTGTGGAAAGGATTTCTGTCCATCAATCCTACTAGCTCTCGTTAAGGTCTTGTAGAGCAGCTCTCACTTTGATAGAGACAAGCTGAGACATTCTAATAAGGAAGGACAATTTGGTATCTGTGGTAGCATTATAGAAAAGTCATGCCAAAACAAGAGTCTATAAGTACTGTTAGTCTTCTGATATCTTACCCCAAAGAGTTTTCCTACATGTTTGGAGTGTTTTGAGTGAGCCACAGCTGGAGCTGGAGTTTGCCCTTGTGCCGTAATCACAATCTCAAACTATCTGGCAATGATCACGGTGACTATGGTGTTGCTGCTGCCTCACAGCAGACTTGAGTTCAGTTCCAGCCATGGGCGACTGTCTGTGTGGAGTTTGCATCTTCACTCTGTGTCTGTATGGTTTTCTGCTGTGTACTCCAGTTTCCTCTGATAGTCCAACGATATGCAGGCTGGGTGGATTGCCAGGTTGTGGGGATAGGGTTGGGAGCTGGGTTTGAGTAGGAAGTTCTTTGGAGGGTTGGTGCAAACTCAATAAGCCGAATAGCCTCTTTCCACACTAGGGATTTGTATAATTCCTTATCCTCAATTCTAGATTGTTCCAGTGGGGAAAATGTGTGTGAAGCTCAGCAGCAAATAACTTTATCATAAAGTACCTGAATAATTTGTTTTGCTTCTTTCTCCCCCTCCCCACCACCTTCAGATGTTGCGATAACTGGCTGGTTTTTAGGTATCAATAGTTTCTATTGGGTGGGGTTTTACAGAGTTGCATGTGAAAAAAAATGTAGAATTTAATTTCTATTCCTACTCTATTCCTAAGTGTATAGCTTGATGAATGGAAAACTGGGAAAAATAGTATATATCCATGAAAGTTAGTTTTGATTGCTGCCATTTTGATTTGAGACAAGTGATGGAAAAATAGGAAGGCCAACCCAACATGAGGATTTTATTCATCAGTTTAAAGGCGGCTATCAATAATTGCCTAGGAAGGAAGTCTTGATGTGCTAAAACTCATGGAATCTTTAAAAAATATGTAAGACTTTTGTAAGACAGGATGTATACAGAATGCCAGCAAGATTAAAAAGCAATTTGGGGAGAGAGAGTGTTCCAGGGTCATAGCTGAATTGAATTAAAGATCGGCAGTGATTCCTTTCCCCTTCCTGACTTCCATGAATGCTCTAACTGAACCAATGATACAGAAAATGCCATATTAAAAGTGTTTGCAGATAATGTCAAGCACCAGCGGCATTATTATTGGCACATGACAATATGTGAAGAACTGGAGGGAAGCCCCAGGTGCTGTAGACCAAAGACCCAATAATGGACTGTCAGTTTGAGCCCCGGGAAGAGGATCTAAATGAAGATGTGACGGTTATGGATGAAGACATAAGGAAAGTGAGTAGTTTTGAGTATCTGGGTCAGTAGTGGCAGGAGATGGAAATTAAACAACAGAATAACTCTGGTTGGAGTACTTGGAAGAAATACAGTGGAGCATTAGAAAGTAGGAAAAAAAGTTGCTGAAACTGAGAGGAAGTACTTGGAAGACTGTCTGCTCATGAAATATGGATGTGTGGAGTGATAAGAAAGAATCAAATCAGGTTCTAGTATGTAAAAGGGTTTGAAAAATGTGGCTGAGAGAGATTGAAATCGTACAGTTAACTGTTGCAGACAAAGGAAATGAGTGGTGAGACGGAGATATGACTGCCGGGAAAAAAAGAAGAGAAAGGCTTAAGATTGTACATAAGGATTTGATGGCCAGTCACTTTACTTCAGGGGGAGTAGAAGTCGTATGAGTGATTTACAGGGGCTGATGGAGAAGGATGATCAATCAGCGGGTAAATATAGGAAAAGCTGAAAGAAGTGATGTCAACAATGCCAGAGGTTGAAGTTGTTAAAAATAATGCATTTATCATAGCGGCAAAAAAAGGTTTAGTTAACTAGACTTTGTGTGAACCCAATGTATTAATGCATTGTGGATAATTATCTGAACTCTTTGATGAAATTGCCAATCCATAACCCCATCAATTGAGACAGAAATACAGATTTTAAAGTTTTACACATTGAACAGTGAGGAATTGAGGTTGTGTGCACTGAGGGTGTTCAATCTGATTAAAAGAAAACATGAATGTGGAATCGTCATTGAAAGAATAAATAGTTTTGGATGTGAAGTCAAAGTGGGAGAAAGATGGAGTTAGTGAGAGGAGGAGCCATCAATACAATACAGATGGTATATTTTGAGATGGAACTGCATAGCTATGAACAGAATAAAAGAAAATTTTTATAACTAAGAAATATCCAGTAAAATGATCACGTTTTAGAAGATGAAGTTTGGAACTAAATGGAAAAGATACAGTAACAGAAGTTATTAGAATTCTTTGAGGAGTTAACGAGTGGGACAAATAGGTTCGGCAGTGGATGTGTTGTAGATGGATTTCAAGTGGGTAGCTTGATAAGGTTCCACATGTTAGGCGACTTAATAAGAGCCCATGGTAATGAAGGTAGTATATTAACATGGATAAAGGACTGGCTAACTATTAGAGGACAGAGTCATGATAATGGGTGTATTTTTGGGATCACAAACTGTAACTCATGGAAAGCCACAGGGATCACTGCTGGGCAATATTCCCTTGGATCTGCTCTACTGTGTCGCTTCAAGAATCCGTGCACTACAATCAGCAGCACATGCTGTATGCAGCATTGACTTCCAATTCCCATTGCTGGGGCCATAATTACTTACAATATGTAATAATAATTCGGATGAGGAAAATGAATGAACTGCAGCCAAGTTTGCACTTGACAAAAATAGGTGGGAAGGCAAGCATTGAGGATGACTGTCTGTTTGAATCATAGCTTCATACAGCACAGAAACAGGCCTTTGGTCAACTCATCATGCTGATCAGGTTTCCTTAACTGAACTAGTCCCATTTGCCTGCGTTTGGCCCATATCTCTCTAAACTTTTCCTATCAATATACCCGTCCAAATGTCTTTTAAATGTTGTAAATGTACCTACCTCTACCATTTCCTCTGGCAGTTCATTCCATGTATTCACCACCCTCTGTGTGAAACCATTGCCCCTCGGGTCTCTTTAAATCTTCCCACTCTCACCTTAAACCTATGCCCTCCAGTTTTGGACTCCCCCACCCTGGGACAAGACTTTGGCCATTCACCTTATCTATGCCCCTCGTGATTTTATAAACCTATGTAAGATCACCCCTCAGCCTTCTATGCTGCAGGGAGAAAGGTCCCAGCCTCTCCTTACACCTCAAACCATCTAGTTGTGGTAAAAACATCCTTATAAATCTTTTTTGCACCCTTCCAAGTTTAATAACATTCTACCTATAGCAGAGCATCCAGACTAGTACACAGTACTCCAGATAAGGCCTTACCAATGTTTTCTTTAGCCGTATCATGATGCCCCAACTCCTGTACTCAATGTTCTATGAAGGCAAGCATGCCTCCTTTATCACCCTGTCTACCTGGGACACAACTTTCAAGGAATTATACACCTAATGTTTTGAAGTAGATTTGTTGCTCGGGTTGTGGGTGTTGAGGTTGATTGGCTCGCCGAGCTGGTTTCTTGTTTTGCAGATGTTTCGTTACCGTGCTGGGTAACATCCTCAGTGCAGCCTCTGATGAAGTGTTGGTGTATTTTCCTGCCTGGTTTTTAAACTCTGGGGTCCGTTGAGATGGATTGCCTCACTTCTGGTTTTCCTTCATAGTGGAACGTATATGGG